AGGATACCATTTATTCTTGTGCAACTCTTTTTCAACATTTTTACTATCATCAAAATACCTTGTACAGGGTCTGCAGAGGGACACGCTGCAAATGACTTATACTGAGATAAACAACAAAACTCTCAAGCATTGAACAACTCTCTCTCTCTCTGTTGTACAGAAATGATGCAGTTTACATAAAGTCGCAACACGATAAAACAACACATTGCCTTCCTGAAGTTCCCTCGCTGGGGCTGCATCACCACAAAACATCTTTGGAAGCCTGCTGGCCAGAGAGGGGAAATGGCCTCTTCTCCTTCACCTCAGTCTCCTCAAGAGCATCGGCACTTGAGAAACTGAAACTGACAACCCTGCTCTTCACGGTTCAGGACCTTACAGAGAGGAGACAGTGGGCATGATCCCAACTGCACTGAGGCAACTGCCCGTCATGGTGGCCGCTCTCCGCTTTGGCTCGCTAACTGAGCATGTGCAGAATCATTAAAGCACTAGATGTCAGTGGGTTACACTTGCACATGTATAGGGTGCAGCTGACCTCATCAGCCATGGAAGGTATTGCTGACCAGTGAGCATTCTGAACCTGACCCAGCCTATCCTTGCAACTAGCACCACTTCTTATGCCTGTCAGTAAGAGTGTAGGGGCTCCCTTTCTTTTCGTTCACCATTTGGTGCAAGGGAAGGGAACATTTTCCATTCCAAGGCCACATTCTCTCATAGGCAACTTTCTGGGGGCTGCATGCAACTTGTGTGGCCTGGGGAGGAGGCTTGGGGACTGTTCCAGGGGCCAGACAAAGAGGTCTAGAGGGGCACAATGCAAATGGCCCCCAGGACTAAGATTCCCCAAATCTGGCTGCAACAGCCTTTCCTACTTCATCAGCCATGCGACTTAAAGGCAAAAGCTATTTTTCAGGTTGCTGATCTGACAAACATAGTCAAATGAGTGATATGGAGTTACCTTCGGTCCTGATGGTGAATGGCGAGTCCCCCAGTCTTTTGGCTGAAAACTGACCTCCCAGTGATGTCATTAAGAAGCAGAGAGTGAAAAATCCAATCCCAACCACAAATATCCTATAAAGGGAGACAAAAGAGGAGGCATCATCAGGTATAAAGCTAAACAATATGCAGAAGAAATTCCCTACAAATTCCCACTACTTTGAAAGAGCTTTAAGGATCACTTCCATCCCTCTGAAATTGCTTCCAGGAGGTGGGTAGCGGCTCCTCCAGGCACCAGATTTGGGTCTGGCCTTGGAAACACACAACTGGGAAGAAGGTTTTTTCTACTAGCACAAGTGTGTGGAGTTAAGGGTTCTTTGCCACGAGGAAGATGATGCTTTGTCACAATCTGATCCTCAATCAAGCATAGGCACTAAGTGACTTCGTTGCTCCCCTAAGTAAGAAATGACAAACCCAGCCATCAAAACTTCACCACTTTTTTTCTCATACTTGTTGGATTGAATAAGCTGCGGGGCAGGAGTAAACATTGTGTTAGCTGGAAGAGGACACAGTACTTCTCTCTGCTAAACAAATTAATTGTACTTAACAAGAATGAAATCTGCATGTATCAGAACACTCACCACAGGGCATAAATCCACTGGGATGTTCTCCTGCAGAAATGTCAGAGTAACGCTTTTTGCACAGCTCCCTGTCATTTCTGAAGTGTATTTAATCATTTCACCCACTGCCTACTTACTAATAAAATGTAAAATATTGTGCAGCCTAACTTTAACCAACAATGATTCTTTTTAATAATTTAAAAAAACTTCTCAAAAAAACTTTGTCTTGGACCTCCAGGAGTTAGGTGTGTAACTATATGACATTTATACCAGATCTGGCCAATCTAGAGACTTTGTACTAGCTGCCAACCATAGGGGCCCATGTTGCTCACTCCTGTTCTCTTTTAACCTCAACAAAGATTGCTCTGAAGCCTGAGTGTGTGCTGTCCTAGGTAGCTTAAGAGTCAGAGACTATTGGAATGCTACAATTCACAATGGCAGACCACCAAATCAGACTGGTGTATGCTGTTCAGCCACTTCAACAACAATCTCTCTTCTCCCCAAAACATAATATAATGAAATGGTACCTGATGTGCGTCTAATGGGGGGGTGGTATTTAATTGTCAGGGTGGGCCCTGCTTTGTCTTCAGTCTTTTCTCCAGATTCTTCCCATTGATTAAATACACACACACACTCATCATTATGCCAGACTTGTTTAGGCATTTGAATCTTCATAATTATAATCGAGCAAGGAGTGATGGTTAAACACTGCATTTAATTACTAATTTAGACCACTGGAGAAGCAGGGGGAGAAGGAAAGAAAAAAGAAAGAAAGAACTGAAAGGAGGGGAAACAGTCAAATGAGTTGCCTGGTTTAGAAGAATCTCATTAGAAGATGAAAAACTTCAAGACTGCAAATGCATTTCAGAGGATGAAACTGCAGCGCCTGCGGTACCCGACAGGATCAGAATAAGTAAGTTACAAGAACTTCAATGGGGCAATATGATGATCAGATAATTACGTTCACTCTGGTTTTCCTCAAGCAAAATAACCACTTGCACATTATTTGATTTCCATCCTACCCCATTTTCCTAAGCCGTATAATTGTCCCAAGAAACCCCTGTTTCAAGATGCACCACAAAGGGAAGCCTTCTTATTCTTAACAGCGCAAAAGCAGAGAGTGGCTTTGGATGTTTCTGCTTGCAAAGGGAACAAGAGCAAAAGGCCACCAATTTGCCCCCCCCCACACACTTTGGTGAGAAATTCCTAAGGCCACCACTGTCGCTTAGTGTCACATCCACATTTAACATAAATGTTAGTGTAGCCCAAGCTAATCAGTACCATTCACTTGTCACTGAGACAGTAAGGAAAAAATGGCACATATAATAAGAAGTAAGGAAAAGGTGAGCACACTGCATTAATATTGTGTTTTGCTATGTTATGCATTTTTGTGTTCTTATATGTGATCCTGGGATAAAGGGTGCATAGAAATTTAATAAATAAATCGTCATAATGAATAACTTTAAGTGCACATAGCAGCAATGATGGCCACCAATCTGGGTGGCTTTATATGAAGATTAGGCAAATTCATGGAGAATAAGGCTAGCCATGTCTCCTAGCCGCAATGGCTATGTTCTTCCACCACTGTTGCAAGGGAGTGTGCCTCTGAATACCAGTTGTTGGGACTCACAAGTGGGGAAACTGCTGTTGAGTGCAGGTCCTGCTTGTGGATCTCACGGCATTTGGCTGGACAAAATGGTCCTCTGGCTTGATCCTGGAGGGCTCTTCTTATGTGGGAAAGGGTTTCCAAGTCTCTGGCTGCCACATAACATAATATCACAATTATCGCTTAGTTAAAAGGGGGGGGTCTTTCTTTTCCAAGGTTTTTTGCTAATAGGTGAGCAGTTGCTAGAGTCCAGGGGCATAACCGTTAAGACCCAGCATTAATCTGCAGTCAAATTAGGAATGTTCAACATGTACTTCAACGTGCCCAATTTCTCTCTAGTTTTTCATTTTATTAAGAATAGAGCAATTCAACAAATTGTCACATTGCACAAGGATCATTTGCAGCTACGATCAGTGGGAAATACCCATCTCCCCAGGTTAAACATGATCACATCCATCTTCCTTAGTAATAGTGTATAGTAAGGTAAAGGGACCCCTGACCATTAGGTCCAGCCGTGACCGACTCTGGGGTTGCAGCGCTCATCTCACTTTACTGGCCGAGGGAGCCGGCATACAACTTCTGGGTCATGTGGCCAGCATGACTAAGCCACTTCTGGCAAACCACAGCAGCGCACGGAAATGCTGTTTACCTTCCCGCCAGACCTATTTATCTACTTGCACTTTGACGTGCTTTCAAACTGCTAGGTTGGCAGGAGCAGGGACCGAGCAACGGGAGCTCACCCCATTGCGGGGAATCGAACCGCCAACCTTCTGATCAATAAGTCCTAGGCTCTGTGGTTTAACCCACAGCACCACCCACAGCCCTAGTGTACAGTATGCACCCTTTATTTATAAATAAAGGAAGATCACATTGTACCAATAAATTTGGCTGTGGTGCACTTAACTGAAGCCAACGTTCTTTTTTTTTGTTCTGTTTGTATACTACTTTATGTACTAGTGGTAGAAATAGCCTAGAAAACAAACATGGTGCAATACTCTTGCAGGAAGGGATCCCATGAGCATCCCATGGCAGCAGACAAGGCCAAAGGGGCGGGGGGAGAGATGGATGTGTATTCTCATCATACACAGAAGCCCCAGGGGAAACCTTTCACTCTCACTCCCACAAAGGCTGCTTGGTGGTGTGTCCTGCTGCCTTTTTCAGCAATGCAGCTTTATAGTAGACTCTTTGAATACAACTCTAGGTTACAGCAGTTTTACCATACACTTGCGGTACCTAGAATATATTTACATCAGTTGCATGCATGCCAATTTCAAGCAGAAGGCTAGTCTTTCTACATTCATTTCTTTCCTACATCAACATCTCACCTTCTTTTGTTTGGTTATGTCTCTGGACCGCATGCTTCAGTCCATAGTGCAGTCCAAGGTGAGTTTCTCTATTACAGTCTTGTATGCACAAGCTTCTATGACCACACTGGGCTTGTTTTTTAAAAGATGGGAATAATCAGGACAACAGAGGTGCCTGCTATTGTGTGTGTTGGATTCTCAACATCTGGAGCAGGCATAGGCAAGCTCGGCCCTCCAGATGTTTTGGGACTACAACTCCCATCATCCCCAGCTGACAGGACCAGTGGTAAGGGATTATGGGAGTTGTAGTCCCAAAACATCTGGAGGGCCGAGTTTGCCTATGTCTGATCTGGAGGGTGGGGTGGGGAGGCTGAATGCATTCCCATTGCCCTTCGTACACCATAAATACATTTGTCTTTATCAATATAGGAAGCTGCCATATACAGAGTAAGGTGGCTTGGCCTAGCTAGCTCAGTATTATCAACAATGACTGGCAGTAGCCCTCCAGGGTTTCAGACAGGGCTCTCTCCCAGCCCTAACTGGAGATGCTGTGGATTGAGCCTGGAAACTTCTGCATGCGAAGCAGATGCTCTCCCACTGAGCTTCATCTCTTCTGCTTACAAAACTATACACTTCGGCATGAAAGAAAGAAAAGGAAGAAAATTGGCCCTGAAATTAGTTTGAAACTTCTCAGCTTTTTTAAAAAAAGACCCTAAAGCTAGTCAGAAAAAGTAGTCTACTCCAGCCAGTCCCTCCCCGTGCCATCCTTCATCACAGCACAATAAGTCGGGTTCTGCTGTTCTATTAAGCCAACCGTCATTCAACATGAGAGAAGGTGACAGCTCTCCCTGATGGCTGTGTATAGCCCATGACACAACTGGCACAGCCAGTGAATTGCTACTGAGAGACGTATCCGTCCATCCAGCTTCTAGTTTTGCACGCAACCCCATTTGAGAGCTCATCTTGCATTAGGCCAGTCAGCTTTGCCATGGACCTTAATAAGATCAAGGCTGGCACATTTTTTAAGAACAGTAAAACACACAATTCAGGAAAAGATGGCCTGGGTGGACCTCTCCCACATGAACTCACCATGAGAGTTTCTTTGACAGGGAGAGCGGCAACCAATCACAGCCCACTGGAATGAGCGCACCTGCATGATATACATGTCTGTCACATTCACATGTTACGCATTTGAATTACCTTAGGGATGTTACACACAGTGACAAATCGGGCTTTGCCACCAAGCATACACTCCACAAGGCAGCACTCTGACAAGGGGTGTAGTGGTTAGCGTGTTGGACTAGGACCTAGGAGACCAGGGTTCAAATCTCCACTCAGTCATGAAACCAATCATTGTCCCTCAGTCTAACCTACCTCAGTGGATTCTTGAGGGGATAAAATGGGGAGCTCCTTGTCTAATACAACTGTAATGATAGATAGATAAGGCTGGATAGCTCAGTTGGTTAGAACATGGTGCTGATAACACCAAGGTTGCAGGTTTGATCCCTGTATAGGACAGCTGCATATCCCTGCATTGTTTGGGGTTGGACTAGAACAGTGGTGGCCAAACTTGGCCCTCCAGCTGTTTTGGGACTACAACTCCCATCATCCCCAGCTAACAGGACCAGTGGTCAGGGATGATGGGCATTGTAGTCCCAAAACAGCTGGAGGGCCAAGTTTGGCCACACTGGACTATATGATCCTCAGAGTCCCTTCCAATTCTACAAGTCTATGATTCTATTATAAATAAATGCATCTATGTGGCACATGTGTTTTCAAATACCTGCTTGTCACATTCTTGATTTTGAGGTAAATACATTACGAAGGGACATGTGATGGGTTCATCAGAGTTACACCTGGCCCACACTCCTCTTTACATAAGCCTCTCATTCTTGTCCTTCTGTAAAGGGAATAAGTGCTTTAAAGCTTTGTGACTGTGTACCTAGTCAATAATCACTACGAAGATGAGTGTTCACAATTAAGACCTTCTGAAATTGAAGTTCTTCCCCACAATTCAAAAAGAGCAAGAGTCAACTGCGGCTTCTCTGTGAAGTGAGGGGAAATCACTATGTATCTGTTATTATTTCCCATGTTCCAGACAAGTACTGGCTCAACTTAAGCCCTGCATGCAGCAGTCATGGTTTCCTCTAAGTACTCCTATTCATAACAGGAGTTGAGGCACTTGAGGATGAGGACTCAGTATGGGCTGGGCTGGGGCTGATGAGGCAGAAGGCCCAGAGACTGCCCCTTCCGTGCAAATGGAGGAGGAGAAAGGCTCAGGGGTGTGACCTGCTCTGGCAGAGGGGTAGGATTCACAGGGTGGGTCTAGCACTGCCTCCTCAGGAGAGGCTGCACATCAATAGTAAAGAGAAGTTTCAGCCCCCTAAGCAGAGTGCCCACCTGCAAGACAGGAATTCCCACAGGGATGTGAGTATCTGAGCATTCTCTGCCTCTGCTTAAAAGGGAGAATCATTGGAACAACGTTGCAGCTCTTGTTCAGTCTTGGACCTCTTGCTACTAATCTCAGACTCCTGAACTTTGGCCTTTGCTTTCCTTTGCCTTGCAGGAGCATCTGGTCTAGATTCTGCTCTAACCTAACTGCCAAGTCCGTACTGCTAGACTGCTACAATAAAAGTTTGCTTCTTTACTTGCAAGTAATGGCACCTGTGGTTGGTTTTGGATGGGAGGCAGGACAAAAGCGGCCTAAGGATGCAATCCTACACCAGCTCAGTGGGACTTCTGGGTAGACATGTATAGAAATGCACTGTGAGATTCCTAAATGACATTACCGCAGTGCCAATGTAATGTATTTTTTATGATACAGCGGCATACCTATTGGTATACCCCATGTGAATCAATAAAATACATAGCACTTATAACTTAGTTACGTTGAAGAGTTCTATGCTGCCTGTGTATGCCAGGTTTGCATGCAATGATAAGAAAAGCACAGTCAGTCCAAGACATTTGCCGCCTGAGGCAAAGGGAAAGAGATTGCCCCTTCTATGGCATGTTCAGAAGCTGAGCAGCCTGAATCTCATTTCAGCACCAGAAAATTGGACAGCGTCCTCCACCAAACCTAAGGGCAGCAGGCTAGTTTAGTGGGTGCAAAGGAGATCACACAGCACACAAAGATCCCAGCCTATTGCTGTTGGTCCATGCCCTACAGCATCTGCTGCCTAAGGTGGTCACCTCACTCGGCCTAATGGTAGGGCCGGCCCAGAACAAAAGCAATAAATACATAGAGAGAGAACACTACAAGATGAAAACACCAGATGTGGCAATTAAAGAAAGACCATAAAATTCTGGAGAACAGATAAAACTTGCATTATTTTGCTGAAATACCCGAGCACATGAAATGCCAGCTGACAGTAGCTACCAGCTACCAGCGTTGTGATCAGAGAAATGAGGAGAAGGAGCCCTTCCATCATGATTTGATCCTGCTCCACAGTCTGCTGCATTACTGGCCATCATGCAGGTGTGAAGGGTTTAGGAGAACAGAAAGTCAAGACAGTCTGAAACACATCTGAGAGGGAGAGCTGTTCAGGTGCCAAAAACATTCCATTGTTACAACAGTGTTTGACAGACGGGAGACATCAGATCATCCAAGGAGGAGGGAGGAGGGGCTAGAGAAGGTATAAGGCAAGGTGGCTAACCTGTGGCCTTTTGGTTGTTGCTAAACTAGAATCATCCCTGACCATTAGCTATGCTGGTTGGGGCTGATGGGAGTTGAAGTCCAATGACATCTGGTCAACCACAGGTTCCTCACCCATGGCTGGGAACAATTCTGATGAATAGGCAGTGCAGAAGAGATCACAAGAGTAAAAGAAAGCTCATTGGGGAACAGAATGGAAAGTATTGCAAGTGGACTGTTCTGTACATTATTTGGAAGCATAATGGTCATGAAACTAACTGTCTTTTGTGAACTGCCCTGGGTAGGCTTAGTCTTGAAAGATGACATAAGTGTGTGTTTTTTAAGCAAATATATATTAAATGGTCTCTGACTGATGCCAAAATTATAACAAAGTTGGTGCTAGGCAAGCTTCTCTAGGGAGGGGGGTGGAATCCTGGGTGCCCTGACAAAAAAACTGTTGTACTAGACTGAATGCTGAGGTAGTTTTAGGAAGAATAATTTACAATATTCTTAGGCTGAAATCCCATAACAGTATGTTTTCCCCTGGTGAACAGCTTTAAGGGAAAATTTTAGATCAGGAAAATTGCCATACCACCAGTCTTCAAAGCAAGTGCATGGGATTGCCAAGATAAATTTTAAAAATGGAAATCCTGAAAATGGTTCTCCTGCCATCCCACTAAACCCAGAGGGTCTTAAAAAAACACAACCCAAAAAACTCTGATAAGAACAGGCTGTTGGGAGTTTTTATTTTGGATGGGTTGCCAATGGCTTCAGTCCCTTCACTCTGCACATACATTTACTATCTCTTCCTACTTCTTAAACCCACACACCTGCTTATTGTTAGCAAGGGAGACTAAGGAGACTATGCAAAAAGGGAGACTAAGGAGACTATGCAAAACCAACAGACAGCTTTGGAATATTTGTTGACCGCTTTCCATTTTCATCTACCTGAGCTATTTACTTGACAGCTGTTTGCCAGGTAAGATAAGCAGTAGTTTTCTTATTAGGTTCATCTGAGTGAACAGCAGAGTCATATCTCACCTCAGGCTTCACCACAACAGTACTAGCCTAGTCCCATGTAGTCCAGAAACACCTGGAGAACCAAAAGTTCACTACACCTACTATATCGTAACATTATATTCCATAATCCATGTCTTTTATATAACAGTCTTGCTCTTATTGAGATCATTCTAGAGCATTCATTCTCAACTTCGGGTGCCCAGATGTTGCTGTACTACAATGCCCGCCACCCCTAGCTAGCAGAACCAATGGTCAGAGGTGATGGGAGTTATAGTTCAACAACACCTGGGGACCCAAGGTTGAGAAAGGCTGTAAAAGGTTCACATACTTCTACTGGGCAGCAGTGCAGTTAAGTGATTTTAGACCCTGGACTTAATATGGTGGGGGGCAGGGGGGAGCAGCGTTCTTTAGATGGCAAAGTGCACTATGGAGCATTATAAGCCAGTCCTGCTGCATTTGGGAGCCCTCCTGCTCACTCTTTTGAATGGGGCCCTGGACTGACTGACTTCATGTATTTAGAGCATTCATACCCCACTCTTTAGCCAGAGAGGCTCCCAGAGTGGTTTACATACCGTCAATTGGAACAAGACAGCCCCTGCCTGCAAGCTTACATTATAAAAGACACAACACACAAGGAAAGGGAAACAGGGAGAGAAGAGGGGAGGAAAGCAAACTCAAGTGCCAATGGTTCTAAGTCAAATAGCTGTTCTTATAATGATACGTATTTCTTAGAAAGTCTTGCTCTGACAGTACCACTACTGCTAAGTGCAGGGGTCCAGCCCTGGAGGGGATGGACCAAACAGCTAATTTAAGTTTCCCTCCCCCTTTGAAGCTCATCAGACTTCATCCCAGCTGAATAACAAAACCCAGCATCCTAAACTTAGAAAGAAAGAACTTGCTTTAAAGTCCACCTAGAGCAAGTTCAATCAGTTTCACTTGCTCCTGATTTTCTTCTTGTTCT